CCCCCCCCTCTCCCCCAAGCCAGCCGCCGGTGCGCAGAGGAGGAGCCCTGGAAGATCCCCCGGGCCAAGCGTCCCGAAGGCCAGCCGGAGGGGTAAAGGGACCTGCTGGCCCCCGAGGCCGCCCCACTTTCCGCCCCCGCTCCCCGCCCCGGGGTCCGAGCTGGGCTCCACAGGACGGAAATAACGTGGGAGGGGGGGCGCCCTGAAAAAAGAAAGGGATGTGCTCCAAAAAACGAGGAAAGGAAAATGAGAAACTCTTGTCTCTTCTCCCAGATTGACTAGGCTGCGGTCTTGTGCCTTTTTACAGATTCATGAATGGCAACGGGGGGGGGGGGGTCAGCCTTTTAAAAAGCCAACAAAAGAAGCAGCGGCACAAATGACCTTCAGAGCGGGTAGGAGAGGGTATCCCCTGGGATGTCTCTGTGGCGCCGCCGGCCCGAGGCCAGCCCTGGTGGACCCCAACCAGGAAGGTACCTGTTGGCAAAATGTTGCCTTTGAATGAGGAAACCATTTCTGGTTTGCCAGTTGTGAGACAGAAGGTGCGAGAGAGGGGTGCCCCACAACGAGGAGGAGGAGGACCGAAAGAGGAGCCTCAAGTCAAACCCTGGAAGTTGAGGGTGTCCTTCTTTGGGCACATCCCGAGAAGGCAGGATTCTCCCCAAAAGACCGAGGAGGAGTGAAAGAGGAGCCTCACGTCGAACCCTCACACCAATAAACCTGGGAAGTTGAGGGTGTCCTTCTTTGGGCACATCCTGAGAAGGCAGGATTCTCTCCAAAAGATGATCACGCCGGGAAAGGTGGAAGGCAACATGATGGTCTTGTAATCCATATCCTGTGTCATTCCGGTCGATCGTAGCCCCCTTAGCCAGGCCTTAGCAGGCCCATTGCCTGAAGTTCTGCCCTCTCCAGTGAGGCATCTCATATGAAAACCTTGGCCAAACCAAGACCTGTCAAGGCTTTTGCCAAGAGCCTTGGTTTTCTGTGAAAAACGCGGAAGACGGACTTCCTTGGGAATTTCTGCAGGCCAAGAGACGCAGCACGAGGAGGCCTCCGAGCACGACACCGGGAGCCAAAGTTAAGAAACGGAAAAGGAAGGGCCAGCCGCTGCGTTTTCATGCGCCAGCATTTTGCCCCAAGCGCATCCTTTTTTCAGGAGGGGTCCCCTCCCTGCCCGATTACTGACTCGAAGGGCTCTGCCCCACAGACGGAGGGGCATCCGCTCCACCTTTCGCTTGGGTCCAAGGGGCTTCAGACGGCCCTCCTTCAGAACAAGGGGCCTTGGTCAAGCCACAAGGGCAGGAATGAACGGGGGTGCACTTACCTGTCCCCCCACAAGCACACTAAACATCTGTGCTGGCAGATCAGGCCAAAGAAACTGAAAACAAAGCAGACAAAAATGTGGCACTTTAAAGACTATCTGCTATATTTTAATGTGAGTTTTCGTGGACGAGTTCCACTATGAGGTGCTCCTGACATGAGCAAAGAAAGACGTGCACGCCCATCTACTCAGGCAGTTGCCAGGATGAAGCCCCCACAAAAGATACCACCATAACACTGTTACGTTGCTATTCATTTGCTTATACTATTTTCTTTTCTTTCTTTTTTAACATTTTCAGCTATAAAAAGTACTGGATGACAGCTATATAAACAGGTAGGGTACATAGAAGGATGCTCAACGAACACGAGGGGATAATGCACAAAGTGACAAGAGCCCTTCAGTTGTGCCCCCCATCCACAAACACACACCCCCGTTGGGAGGGGTGGCCAAGGGGGCCCTTGTAGTTCCTCAATTTCAGTTGCTTTCCAGTCTTGTTGCCTTGATGATGGGGGAGGAACACATTGGAATCGAAGCAGAAAGGGAGGGGGCATTTAGACCCGTCTTTCCTTCTCGCCACCCCCAGCAAATGTCTAGGTTTTAGGTCTCTGATCAACAAGCCATTTTTAAAAAAAAAAAAAACCTCCCATCCTGCTTCTATTTATTCCCTGTTGGCCACCTACCTGTGCGCTTTCTGCACGAAACCACTGCCTTTGGGACTGTGGCACTTTGCATCTAAATATTTGTATGCCAAGGAGATCGTTGTGGCTTTTGGAGTTACATGAAGCTCCCTGTCTCCTGATGATGGGGAGCCACTATGTTTGTGGCTTAAAAGAGCACCTCTTCATACCATTCTCGACTTAACGACTTGTGCCAGAAATTCAGAAACTGAATCACATTGATTTGGGCTGACTCATCCCAGAAGGAGATGCAGGTGGGATCGGGTCAAATCCATCGTGGGAGCACTGAGCTGCCAAGGTTCCCCACTTCCTCACAATGGACTTCATTTGTGCCTTTGTATTTAGCGGCTTAAAACTTGGGGAGTTAATGGAGACTTTCCCTAAAGCTCCATGTTAGTGGATGTAAACAAACCTAACATTTTGTTTCTTAAAAACAGCCCAAGGCCCTTTAGTCTCCAATGTTATTTTTTTGTCACAAACCTAAACACGCTTGCAGTCAATTTCTACTGAAATCAACAGAATTGAATTCCAAGCAAGCAGATTTGGAACCTGCTTAAGATTGGGAAAAAGGAGGAATTCAGGAATGCAGCTCAGTGACAGCATAGCTGATTCTTTATGGGAAGGAACAAGGAAAATATCTCTTAAAAACCAACGGTCCATTCCTCTTAAAAATGGGTTATGATCCATCCTTTTGCATTTGTTTAGAAAACGGAGGTGATTGAGCAGGTAAGAAATCAGCCCCCTGCCGCCCTTTAAGTGCCACGCGAGTGTTTCTCAAAAGTACTTCATCACTTTTCCTAAACTTTCTGTAGACGTTTATTACAGAGGGCTCCACGGAGACGTCAAGGAGCAGAGCGAGAATCACCACGGCATTTACAGATCGATGAGAGCACCTGCCACAGACGAGCAAGTAAAGTGCATCCATTCCACAATTAAGCACGAGATGACAGACAGAATCCACTTTTTAAAAGGGACAAGCAAGACAAGAATCAGAACCATATAATCTTAGTTGTGGCAGGCTCGGAGTCCTTCACCCTCCCCCATTACATATAAATATTAAGAGATCCGTTCTCCTACTCACAAAATGCACAAGAGAATTTCTTAGCGCAAAACAAATGCAACCCACGACTCAAATCTAGGCGCCCCTTCCATTTCCCCCAGGTCTGTTAATTCACCTCCACAGACCTCCTACATAACACGGGGAGGTCACAGATCTTAAAGAACCCATAGAAAAAGTTGCAGGTACAAAATTTGCAACCTTTACGGTTGTCTTGTTTTCCAAAATGTGTTTGAAATATATAAAAACAGGAGTCCTCAAGACTCTGACATGGGTCTACTCTGCAGTATTTCAAGGGGACTTCTCCAGAAAACATATTAATTTTATTTTCTCTCTTATTTCCCTTTATTGTGAGGGATTTTATTGCTGTTTTCTCCTCGGTCTTAGAGACAGGACCAGGTGAAATTCTGTGGATCTATGCAAGGAAGGCAGCTTTGCTTTGTTTTGTTAAAATGGCTAGCTCAATGAGGAATGCCTCTTCAAAAATGGATAAAATAAACACTTCAGGCATAACAGACTGTATGCAAGAGCTGAGTGATCAACTAACAGAAAGCCACAGCTTTAACTCACATGAAAGCCTTTGTATGTAGACCTTGAAAATATGTGAATTTAACATTTAAATGAGTACTTCCGCTTACCACAGGAGGTCAAACCAAATGATGCAGCTCGGAGACGACCCTTTAAAAGTGATGTTTTAACGTGACTTCCAAAACCGTATTTTCTTAACGTTAGATGCATTCCCCCCTTTAATGTAAAGATATTAATATGGACTTGTCAAATACAATGCATTATATCCAAGTCTTACTTGTATGCTGAATCCAAACAGCTCAGAGCTATTATCAACCGGAGCTCTCCAACATCATGGATAGGGAAAAAAGATCATTTTAATCTATCATTTTAGCTGGAGATGGAAGGTCAGCCTGCATGTAAAGCTGGTGGCTCCATCACCCAGCTAAGGTATTCTCCCCGCCTTCAATTCCATGTTTCCCTGAAAATAAGACAGGCTCTTATATTAATTTTTGCTCCAAAAAACACTTTTAGGACTTATTTCCAGGGCATGTTTTATTGATTTCATGTACCACAATCTACATGGATTCAAAGGCAGTCCTGTCATCTTCTTCTGGTTGCTGCAGAAAGGTGAAGGGTGGGGTTTCACTTCACTGGGGATTATTTTTGGGGTAGGGCTTACTGTATATGACGAGCCTCCTGAAAAATCATACGAGGGCTTATTTTCAGCTTAGGTCTTATTTTCAGGGAAACAGGGTATCATGTAGTCAGTATACAAGCAACCAAAACCAAACCCCACCCTGTTCTTGGCGGAAGCACTCTGAAACCATTCAGCAGTTGGCAGGCTGACACTCTCATGTGACCACACAGATTTCTCTGGCCATTTCCACCGATCCATCACTCTACAAGGTTCCTTGAGCTGGATCCGAAGGGCCAGTCTTTAATTTTCTAAATGAAGATGTTGGGAGGACCGATTAAGAAGTACGAGAGCGAAAAGACCAAAGACTCACAGAACATAGAAAAGTCAGAAAGCCAGACCGCTTCCGCCATGTAAGGAGAAATGGAAAGCACAGAACGTTCCAGAGGATCCTTCAAAAGAGAAGTAGTGTGCAATGAAGAATATTCTCCTGGCTTGAAATCCCAGGAGATGGGCTTGGATGGGAACACAACACGCTGGTTTATAGCCACCGTTTCTAAGGTGAGGGCCATCGCGATGACGTCACCTCTCTGGAAACAGAGGGACAAGGAGGAAATAGAAACAAAGAGGTACCGAAAAAGTCTGAAAATCCATTCTTGATGGTAGGTCATTCTTTTTCCTTTACTGCATACAGGTCTGTGGAGTTTGAGCCTCCTTTACATGGACGGAGTCTCGTGCGAAGCTTCAACGGTTAGGACAACCTAACCTGAGAGAGGGTGGCTCTGGAGAAATGTCATCCCAAAGGTGAGGAAGGAGGAGGTAAACGGGAAGGAGAAGAAGGAAGAGAAGCCTCTCGGAGCGGAAGCAGAAGATGCTTCGCTGCAAAATTACAAAGCCTTTACCTAAAAACCAGAGGATTAAGAAAAGGGTGTCAGGAATGACGCTTCGTCTCACCTGGATTTCGAATCCTTCCAAAAAGATCCTAGTGCCCAGCACTAAGAAGTGAAAAGCAGATTCCGGGATTTTGAAAGCCCCGGTCTTCCCGTGTGTTCTCAGAACATTGCATTATTATTATTATTATTTTAAAGACATTTCGCAACTCGGATTAAACACGCATCGTGTCCTGCTGCTAAGATGATGACCAAGCAGTGACCAGAGGGTTTGTGTGGCCCCTGCCTTGAGCAGGAGGAGCGGGGCTCCCGAGCCCCTCCCCATCCCAGGATCCCTTTCGGGGCTACATAAGCGCTTCTCGGTGGAGTCCCTGCTTATCGTCGGGATCCGGGTCGGCATCGTCGTCTTCGGGAGGATCGTTCTCGTCGCCCGATTCCACGTAGATGGGCCAGTCGTTGTCGGGGTCGTTTTTCTCCTGGCCTTCCGAGGACGGCTCCATCAGGCTGAGGTTGATGGGCATCGAATCCTCGTGGGTCGTCGTGACGCAGGTGCAGCTGTCACACAAGCCGAAGCGCCGCAAGCCCTGGGACAGGCTGCTCGTGAACGTCCTCCGGCAGCCTTTGCAAATGATGGGCTTGTTGGACCGGTGGACCTGGAAGGAGGAAAGGAAGCATGGACATCAGCAGCTCCGAGCGTGCCTGGAAGCTGATGCCCTCGCACCAGGGGAAGTCACCCGTCTCCCCTTGGGCTGCCGACAGACCTCACCAACAGCACAAAAAGGGGAAGAACACCCCCTCCCCTTAAAAAATTAATACAGTCGTGCCCTGCTTAATGATTACCCCGTATAACGACGAATCCACTTCACGACGATGTTTTTGCAATCAATGTTTTAATGGGCTTTTTCACTTCCCGACGATCGGTTCCCTGCTTCGGGAACCGATTCTTCACATTACAACGATCAAAACAGCTGATCGTCGGGTTTTCAAAATGGCCGGCGGCTGCTCAAAATGGCTCCCCGCTGTTTTCTAGGACGGATTCCTTGCTTTACAGGCACCAAATATGGCCACCCCTATGGAGGATCTTCGCTGGACGGTGAGTTATTCCGCCCATTGGAACGCATTGAACGGTTTCAATGCATTTCAATTGGCTTTTTTATTTCACTTTACGACGTTTTCGCTCTACAGCGATTTCGCTGAAACAAATTAACGTCATCAAGCGAGGCACCACTGTAATAATAAAGCTCTCCAGGAGCCGATCCCTCCATGCCACAGGCGAGTAACCATTCAGAGGCCCCTTAAAAAAAAATTCAAATCAAATTTAAAATTGAAACAAAAAAAAATTAAGATTCAATCGTAGCTTGATTAGAAATGACCATCACATGTAAAGGTCCCAGGGTCGTCCTGCCTCCCTCCCTCCTGCCCAGCTCTTCTGGGACCCGCCTCTGTCTTACGCTCAGAGCGTGACTCCGGAGGTGTTCCTGCCGTGTGAAGCGCTTGCCGCAGATCTCGCAGGGGTACGGCCGCTCGCCCGTGTGCGAGCGGATGTGGCGCTTCAGGATCCCTTTCTGTTTGGCCGTGTACGGGCAGAAGGGGCACTTGTGAAGCTTGATCGGCACCACCAGCACATCCCCTGCGGAAAGAACGCAAAGCTCACCCAGTGCTTGGGGGAGGGAAGGGAGAATTTTCCACAGCAACTTTTAAACACAAATTCATGCAGAAGTTCATGCTGTTTGGAGATGAAGCAACGGAAGTGAAAATGGTGGCCTGGCTTCTCCTGCTCCCCCACGGGCGGCAGCGCGGAGCGCGCGGGGGGGGGGGGGGAGCTGCTGGAGCTGGAACAGTGGTAGGTCAGAGGGACTCGGCTTGCAAGACTCGAGCAACCGGTTTGCCTTTTTAGCTTCTGACATCAAGGGGGAGGGGGGGTGGCAAACAAACCTGTGAGCCTTTTTTTTCTATCCAGGTGTACATGGTATGGACAGGAATTAAAATAACTTCTGACATCAAGGGGGAGGGGGGGTAGCAAACAAACCTGTGAGCCTTTTTTTTTCTATCCAGGTGTACATGGTGTGGACAGGAATTAAAATAAACCACAACCCTCCACTCAGACATAGCTTCCTCCCACTCCTGCCTCCTCTGCTGCTCGTCTCCACATCGGGAAGCATCCTCTGAGCTTTCCACCATCACCAGGGGTGGGGGTGGGGAGGCTTACTCACTGGGAGAACACATTCTACCACATCCCTGCTGGCTACACTAAGCAACCTAATGGTTCTCCCTTTTGTGACAATACTCAAAAACCACCTGGGGCGCTGAAACGGATGCCCAAATATCAGACAGATTCCTGGACCGGATGCTTCTGTGCCCCAAAAGCCAAAGATCCCAGAACTGAATCCAGACAGATGGCGCATGTGAGAAGGATCCTACATGGGCTACCCAGAAGTAGTATACCTTGCGTACCAAAAACTGCCCGACCAGAGACGCCCACCACCTCCGGCCTCTGGGGCTCTCTTCTTTCTCACCTGTATCCTCCCCGTACCAGTCACTGTGAATGTCCATCATGGAGCTCATGGCCACGCCCGGGTCTTCCGGCCTCCCCTCGAAGCCACGGACAAAATGGTGGACCACGTCGTCCTTCCTCTGCCCTGCACTGTTGCGCAACAAGGCCTCCAGGAACTGTTTCATGTGGTAATTGTTGCACGTCAGATCCACGGTCGGGCCGCCGTGGAGCCCGTCCTCTATCTGCTCGATCGTCAACGGCGTCGGGAACTGCGGCAGCCGCTCGCCCACTTCCACCTCCACCTCGTCGGCGTCAAATTCCACTTTGGGTTCCACCATTTTGGGGAGCGAGGAGTTCGGGTCGTTGTGGGAGTCGCTGCTGACAGGATCCCGCACCACCAGCTCCATGGGGTGGCAGCTGCTACATTCTCCGCAGGGTGGGTCCTGCTGGCAGTCGTGGATCCGGTCCTTCTCCTGCGGGGAGGAAACGGATGCAGAGCACGGGCCCTTGGCCCCGTACGAGGGGCCCTCTCTCGCCAAGGTGGCGCTCCCGCTATCGGCCTGGTAAAAGGCAGCCTCTCGCTCGATCTTCCTGCAGATATCCAGCGAGGAGCGAATGTAGGTCTTGCAGAAATTCACGACGTCGGTCATCTGCAGGTAGCTGGCGGCCGACATGACCTCGATCACGTTCTCCCCGCACAGGTCCAGCTTCCCCGAATAAAGGAAGTCCAGGATAATGGAAAAGGCCTCGGAGGTCACGATGTCCAGAGACGCCGTGCTATGCCGGCCGTTGTCCTGGATGTAGTGGATCAGCAACGCTCGGAAGTAGCCGCTGTTGGCAAAGAGGATGTTCTTGTGGGCTTTAAAAATCCGTCCTTCCACGATGATGCTGCAGTCGCAGAAAAAGTCCCTCTTGCGCTGTTCGTTGAGCTCCCCTAAAAGCTTGGCGTAGTATGACTGCATCTCCATGGTCCCTGGAGTGAGGAGCTAACGCTTCGCCCTGCAAGGGGACAGGAGCGAGAGAATGTCAGATCAGGGACGCCTTCCCCTTGGCAGGAGAAACCAAGATCACCTCATCGACCTCTACAAGCAGAAATGGACCTTGAAAACGTGAGCACATGACACCCAGAGGAATATCCCAACCTTTCCCCATGATGGAGGCCAGCGACCGAGTTTTTAAAAAACCCAAGAATCTGAAAATCAGACTGGCACTTGAGGGCAACCGCCTTGTGTCCTTTTAAAGGGTAAAAACATTTTAAATATTAACAAAATAAAATAAACCCAGATCTGTAGACTTGAATGACTGCCTCCACTTCTAGGATTATATTGGCATTCGCTGTTCTGGCCACCAGTCACAGAACCAACCAACGTCTGAAATGACTGGGGACAGCGAGGCCCAACATGTCTGGAAACATTAAGGCTGGGGGAAAACGGTCTGTCCTAAAGCATTTTGTTACTAATCTGCACCATTCTTTGGGCATATCACGAGAAGACAGGATTCTCCGGAATAGACAATCATGCTAGGAAAGGTGGAAGGCAGCAGGAAAAGAGGAAGATGCAATGTGAGATGGGCTGATTCCCTAAAGGAAGCCACAGGTTTGGTTTTGCAAGAACTGAGCAGGGCTGAGATTGCTCATTCATAAGGATCCCCATAAGCCAAGGGAGACTTGATGGCAGGTAACAAGAAAATAATGTCATATTTTGGGATTGTTCATGTACCACACATAAAGCACGGGGTGGAAATAAACACAATTAAAAAAAAATAAGTAACATTTTGAACTCCTGAACACAACTGATCAATCCAGATTCCTGCAGCTCTTTCCCCTGGAGAACCCTTTGATGACAAAAACGAACAGTTAATCGTGGTCTAAAAGAATCTGCCCCCCTGGACGACATACTGAAGCAGTACCTTCCAGAATCTGGCCTTCCTTACGGCAGGCCAAATCCTGGCACTAGCAGAATACAAACACAGGAGAGGCGATAAGGAGGAAATTCGTGCGACTCGCCTTCTGTGGGAAGCCAAGACGATGCAAGGTGACCCCCGGACAAAGACCGGCCTTAGGACCTTGGCAGAATCTCCCCTTCCCCCTCAACCATGTGGTTTTTGTAGCATAACCCTCCGGGGGAAACCAGCCAGTCCGAAGAACAAAGAATTTTCAGTATGGCCAGCAAGGAAGCCGCACACAGACACACATACAGAGAGAGACAAAACTGGAATATCCAGGTCACACATCCTTTCCCCTTTCTTTCAATCCCTGCAATTTTCTTTTTCATCTCCTTCTTCTCTCCTGCTCTTTTCAGCCGCACGGCCCCTCGTTTTCCTCTCCCGTTCTCCTTCCTTCGTCAACTCTAATGATCTCACCTTCCATGCTTCCCTTTGCCAAAGTGCACAGCCTAATGGCTATCACCCCCTCTCACACACACACACACCAATTAATTGCAAACAAACAACAAAACCTCCTAACACAGAGGCTAAGAGTAAAAATGGGTGACTGAGATGCAACCACTATCGTGACAGTCGATGTGTCCTACCACTATTGGGGAACGCCCCACCCCACCCCCTTTTTTTTGTTCTTGCTTGAATTTCAAGGCTGTGAACCACAACGGGTGGGTTTTCCTGCACCCATCCTGCAGGCTGGAAGACTGAGACTGCTATAAATCCCTGTAAGCAGTTGTACACCTTCAGCAGCAGTTTAATATTGCAAGAGTGCCCCACTTGCTGTTCACCCACATTTGAGCGTATGTAGATGTAAACTACATTTGTGTGCGAACTCAGGACAGCTGGCGTGACGTCGTGGGTGTGGTGTCATGGGTACAGTCTAGGAATCAGCAGGGATGGGAACTTGAGACGCAGGATACGGTGTCAAGTGGGGCCAGCAAGTCAATTCAGACTCAGATTTTTTTCCCCCAATAATTTGGACTCAACTTGAACTCAGAACCCACCTACCTTTCCCTTTTTTCTGGGGGGGAAACGATTGTCATAGGGACTCAGACTTGGTACCAAAGATTCAAATTCAGACTTAGGACTTGATGCTGAAGACTCAAGACTTGGGATTCAGGCTCAAAGACTTGCCAACATCCCTGGGACTCAGGAAACCTGAGTTCAAATCTCTATCCCCACCCCCCACCCCATGGAAAGTCATTGTGGGGTGGAAAAGCTAAATCTCTCCATGAACATCTCACATAAGGAGAAAACCTACAAGTCAGAAACAGCACAACCACATATAAGAAGAAGATGCGTTAGCAAGAAGGCAACTGTAACAACCTGGTATATAAACGTATATCCACCATCCTCTCCTTCTGGTGGCTAAACAAAAATGCAAATCGGTCCCCAGACAGCAGACAGAACATTGCTACAAACAACTCAGATGCTTTAGAAAAAGCAAGTACAACATAAACAATCACATAAGCTCAAGGTTCACTGTACCTTAAAGGCAGAGACGTATTTCAGTGTGAACTCCCATAGATTATAGACCCCTTTTTCAGACCTATCAAATGAAATATAACCTTAAAGCTATAGAGCGGAAAGGGACCCCGTGGGGTCATCCAGTCCAGCCCCTGTCAAGGAGGCCCAGTGGGGGAAATCAAACTCCCAACCTCCGGCTCTACAGCCAGAGACTTAAATCGTTGAGCTATTCAGCAATTAAATGTATGCACTGTCGGGCTAAGGACCCGGCACAGACCGATAAAAGCAGAGAAAATGAAATTTTGAAGTGACAATGGCATTCTTAGCACAAATAATGGGCTCTGATGTTGATTGTTTATATATCTAAACTGCAGCTTATGCCGTAATAACTTATTCTTACTCTAATTAACCACTTTCCTCTTCACAATTATTCTGCATAAACAAAGCCATTTACTCTACGCCCAGAGTCAGAGGGACTCTAGAGACCTGGGTTCAAATCCCTGCTGGGTCCCGAGAAAACTCACAGGAGGGAAGGTGGCCTTGGCAGACCCCCTCCCTGAAGATCCTGTGTGTGCCTCCAACCCCTTGACCGGCCACGCCACAGCACCACAAGGACAGGGTCAGAAGTGGATTCAGCATGAAAACGGGGGCTGCTTCCTGAACACCTTTGCAGTTTCAAAGCCAGCGGATGCTCACAAACCCTCAACCACTCTAGTGACAGCCAGCCAAGAGTGAGAGTGCCTCGAGCATGCACAAAGTGCTTTTCCCCTTCCCGCTAAGTATGTAGCTACCGGAGAGTCACGTTTGCTTGTGTTGGAGACAGCCAGGTTTTCATCTCAGCCCTGGAGAAGCTTCTGGGTGGGATGATAACCCATCCCAACAGTTCATGCCGCCGCCGCCCCCCTCCTCTAAGGCTGGGTCGGTTCCCAGCAAAAGAAGCCCCCGCAACCGTTCCAGGGCAAGCTGGGTTTCTGAGCTGGTGCAGACGGCCCGACCCACCGTTTCCCCGAGGATCTCCCCGACGGCAGCATCTCTCGTGCTAACCCCAAGCTTTCCTGCTCTCCCGACCCCCGCCAGCAACCTCCAGCGGCCAACCTCGCCGGGAGGGGGGGGCTCTCGCCTAGCCCTCGCTTCCCGGCCGCAACAAGCCCCCCCCCTTTACAACCAGGGGCTTGAGGGATCGCTCCCCGGGGCACCTGGGCTCCCGCGCCTTCCCTTTCAAAGCCAGCCCCTGCCCGGCTCCGATCCCCGCCTCCGGAGCCAGGAGCACCAAGCTGCACATGGAGAGCGAGCGAGCGAGCAAGGCACAGGAGCCGACCAGGCGCGGCTCGCCCGGTCAGTTGGCCGCCCTGCCTCCCTTCTCCAGGCTTGGGAAGGAGGCACCACCCTGGACTCAGCCGCCTCCAAAGCAAAGGCAGACCCACCCACCCCCCACTCTGGAGCCTGCAGGCATTGCTCGCCCATGCATGCACACGCATGCACGCCCATGCACACGCATGCACACGCCCATGCACACGCCCAGCGAGGACCCAAGCGCCGCCGGGCTCCTGATTCCCCGGGCAGCCCCCGCCGCTCACCTTTGCACCGGTCCCCCTGC